GGGGGCCGCCGCCCGGGCCCCGCTGCCCCTGCTGCGGAGCCAGGGCTCGGCTCTTGTGCGTCTGGGCGAGGGCAGAGCCGGTGACTTTGCCCTCCTCTGCCCCCGGCTGAAGCAGCGCTGGCGCTTCGTGACAGCGCAGGCAGGTGAGGGAACGGCCCTGCTGATGTGGTTCTGGCTCGGCAGGCTCGGCAGCCTCAGTGAGGGAGGTGTTTTCTCTGCAGGGGACCTGCACGCTGTCTTAGACCTGGCGAAGGTTGCTGACTCCCTGCTGTTCATCCTGGATCCTGCAGATGGCTGGGATAGTTTAGGGGAGCACTGCCTCTCCTGCCTCTTTGCACAGGGGCTCCCCAGTTACGGTGAGCAAGTGAGAAACATTAAGGGTTTCTAGTGGGGTACAGGTCATGGTGATGCTTGATGGGAAACCGATAGAGTGCTTGCTAATACTTGGTAGAAGAGTTCCGAGAAGGTTTGCCCTCTGATCCTGTTCTGTGCACTCTTGGTAGCTCTTGCTGTCCCGGGGGGCACTGACTTGCCACCCAAGAAGCGGATAGATGCCAAGAAGAAACTTGCCAAAGCCATTGAGAAGCGCTTTCCCGAGGCCAAGCTCTTTCCCCTGAACACGGAGCAGGAGTGCTCCCTGCTGCTGAGGCACCTGGCTGCCCAGAAGCAGAGGCACCTGGCTTTCCGGGACAGGCGGGCTCACCTGCTCGCCTGCGCTGCCGAGTTTGTGCCTGGTCAGGAGAGTCCCCTGGTTGGGACCTTGAAGGTGTCTGGCTTTGTCCGGGGACAGACCCTGGACGTGAACAGCCTGGTGCACATTGTGGGGCACGGAGACTTCCAGCTGAGCCAGGTGGATGCACCCCCTGATCCGCTGTCCTTGAACCCCCGAGTGGTTAAAGGACAGAAGAGGAGCCAGGACATGGAGGTGCAGGTGCGTGGGCAGTCAGGGCTTTTCCGCTCCTGGTAGAACACAATGTTTCTAAACTTCCATCAGGAAAACAACATAAAATGGGTGTATGTGGTTGAGGGGGAGTAATGGAGCTTTATCAGGACAGCCAGCAGGGCTGTGTTCTGCCACTGGGCTGAGATTCCTTGGATGTGGCATGTAATGAGTGTTATGTTGCAGCATAATAAACATGATAGGGAGTTTCACTTCAGACTGATGGCTAGCTCAAGCTGGGTGTCTTCATAGCAGGGAACTCTGCTCTTGCCCTTCAGGATGACTCTGTAAATGGTACTGATGAGATGGAGGAAGATGTTAAAGTCTTGATGAAGGCAGATCCAAAAAAGCAGGAGTCTTTGCAGTCAGAAGTGGTTCCTGATCCTATGGAAGGGGAGCAGACGTGGCCCACTGAAGAAGAGCTGCGAGAAGCAGAGGGTGAGTAGCAGTGATACTTCTGTACCTTTTCCTTGTTCCTATGAAGAGTGTTGTTAGAAATTCTCTGTAAATGGGATGTCTGAGGGTGGCTGTGAAGCAACGTGTTCCTTGGGAGCCCAGGGCTTCTATTCTTAGTCTCATCACCTGACTGCTGGGCTGCATGGGCTGCCTGGCAGTTAGCAGGGTTACATTTTAGCTGCCTTTCTGGACCGTGACAATTCTGTGCTGGGAACCACAGGTCTAAAGCTGATGTTTGCTCTCCTGGTGTAAATGTTGCTGAGGGAAAGGAGAATTGTTCCTGTGTTAACTCTTGGTTGGAATCCTACAGCTTCTCTGAAGGCAAACAGGAAGGTGGTGAAAGTCCCCAAAGGCACATCCAAGTACCAGGCTGCCTGGATTGTGGATGATGAAGAAGAAGGCAGTGAGAAAGATGATGATGATGATTATGAAGATGATGACATTGATGATGAGATGATGGAAGATGCAGTTTCCCAGGTACCTCTGAGAGCTGATATTGCAGGTGATCTCCAGGGCACTAGTGCTTATCCTTGGACTGTCTTTCCTTGCTCCATGCAAGGGCACAACACAGAGCCAGGACTTGCCTGGATTGACATTGTTAAATCTCTTTTGCATTATGCTGCTTCTTGGGCCTGTTAGATACTGAAATGAAGGACTCGTAGCTTGCGGCATAACTCACACAGTGTGAGTGCAAGTGGGGTTTGCAGGGCTGGGTGGGCATCCTGTGCTGACAGGCCCTGTGCTGCCCTCCCTGGCAGGAGGGGGAAAGCTGTGAGGAGGAAGAGGAACCTGCAGAAGAGGAATGTGAGACCATGACCATTTCTGAGTGCCTGCGGGACGACCAGTATGATGAGAAGGTGGAGGAAGATGAACAGATGCTGGAGAGATACAAACAGGAGAGAATGGATGAAATGTTTCCAGATGAGGTGGACACACCACGTGATGTACCTGCCAGGGTCCGGTAAGAAACTGGACGCTTTGCTGGGAGAGGAGCTGGAAGGTGCCATTCTGTCTAGTTTGGTGAGGTAGGGCAGGAAGCCTGTGATGTCTTAGCCGTGGTGTCTGAACCTGGCTGAAGGACTCTTCTGAAGATACATCCTTGGGCTCTGAGGCTTCCAGGGAAGGCACTAGTTGGGGAGCAGTGGGTGGGCCTGGGCAGCTCCCTTCAGCAGGGGGAGCTGGATCCTGACCTGGGAGAAGGAGGACGATGGCAAAGTAAGGGGAGGTTGTCTGGGGACTTGGCTGCTCTTTCTATCCCTCCCTGTGCTAAGTTATTCTCTGGGAGCAAACGTTTGCTTTCCCCTCTGGAGGTCTGAGTCCTTGTGCATCACAGAAGGTGCTGGCCAGGCACCTGGATTGGTGAGGTAGTTTGTCTTTCCTGTTGTCTGTCCTTTAGGTTCCAGAAGTACAGGGGGCTGAAGAGCTTCCGGACTTCTCCGTGGGACCCCAAAGAGAATCTCCCCAGGGACTATGCCAGAATCTTCCAGTTCCAGGACTTCTCCCGGACCAGAAAGCACCTGTTCCGGCGAATCGAGAAAGAGGAGACTGAAGGAGCCTTGGTAACTCCCTTTTCTCTTGCTGAGTTCTCCTGCTCAGTACTCTTGCTGCTAGTAGGAAGGACTCTACAGAGGGGTGGCTGAGTTCTGTTGAGAGGAGTATTCACAGCTGATCCTCTCTTGGCAGGTTGGCTGGTATGTTACCCTCCATGTCTGCAATGTCCCTGTCTCAGTGATGGAGAGCTTCAAAGAAGGGAAGCCCCTGGTCCTGTTCTCGCTGCTTCCCCATGAACAAAAGGTGACTAAGCACAGCCCTGCTGATGTCTTGTAGGTGTGCAGCTCCTTGTCTCATTCCCTGAGGCTGCATGGCTTGGAGAGGTTCTGGCTGCAGAGGGTTTGGGCTGAAATCTCCCTGTATTGTTCACATTTCAAAGTAGGACCTTCCCTTCAGAGCAGGCTGAATCTGCCAGGGTGTTAAGACTCAAGTGCCTGAGCCTGGCTGAGGTGTCTGCATTGGTGACCAGCAGCCCTTTGGAAAGTCATTAAGGGCATTTGTTTCTGCTGCAACATCCCATTGCTTTCTCCTCTGGCCACCATCTGGCCAGCCCTGCTTCCTCCAGCCCCTCACTCCCTGCCTCCTGCAGATGTCTGTCTTGAACTTCCTGGTGCGGCGCCACCCCAGCAACAGCGAACCCGTGAGGGCAAAGGAGGAGCTGATCTTCCACTGCGGGGTCAGGCGCTTCCGAGCCTCCCCCCTCTTCTCCCAGCACACCTCAGGTTTGTGAGGGGCTGGTGGGCTGGGCATGGGAATGCCAGGAGTTGGGGCTGGGGTTTCTAGGGCAAGAAGCCTGTGATGTCTTAGCCATGGTGTCTGAACCTGGCTGAAGGACTCTTCTGAAGATGCACCCTTAGGCTCTGAGGCTTCCAGGGGAGCGGGGGCACTAGTTAGGGGCGGCTTGGGCAGGATGGCTCACTGGTCCAGGCACAGCAGTGGCAGGGTCCACACAGTGAGCTGGTGGCTCAGAGGGATCACCTTAATTCCCAGGTACTCTGTGTCAGCAGAGGAGGGGAGCTTGTCATCCATTTTCCTAAAGCACAGGGCTGTTTGCTAGGGAAGAATGGGCTCTGTGGGTTTTCCCAGAGCTCTGAGGACAGCTGTGGGCCTGAACTTGACCATTGCTCTTCTGTCCTAGCTGATAAGCACAAGCTGGAGCGTTTCCTGCGCCCGGATGCTGCCGTGGTGGTGACTGTTTACGCCCCCATCACTTTCCCTCCTGCCTCAGTGCTGCTTTTTAAACAGAGAAGTAATGGTAAGTTGTTAAGTGCTGAGGAAGTCTGGGAACCAACCTTTAGCTGCCCATTCCCATACCCCACTTAAAAGTGCATCTATCCAGAACATATGACTTGAAAAAGGTGTCCCCTTCATGTCCATTCTGACTGTCACTGTTACCTTGGTCTGTCCCTGCTGTGGGGTGCTCCGGGCCTGGAACTGGTTGTGGAAGGGGGTGCTGGAGGCACCTCCTGGGGTGT